AGGGGAAACCAGGATATTTATACTGTGGGGGTAGTGGCAAAAGCCTTAGTTGATAGGTGCTTTTAGGATGCCCCATTTACATGTGGTGGTGGGCTTCTGCCAGGCTGCCAGACATTGCCTGATTATCACACAGGAAAACCTGGCAGTTTCTTGTGCCAGAGGCCATGTTTTTGGTAGGGCATCTGTGGCGGCCACTTCAAAAGGTGAGTCAGGAAGAGAGTAGGAAGGCGCCCTGCTGAGAAAAGGAGTCTCTGCATAAACGCTGAGCCCCTTGGGCTATCCGGACATGGAGAGACTTTGACTTAACACAGCAGGGGTCCCCAACAGAAATAGAGTAACCTGGAAGTTTTAGCTGTCTTTGGGTGTTGACTGAAACATTGTTTACAAGCAGATCCCGGGACTGGTGACAACTGTGCTGCTCCAGGCCTAGCCATTAAGACCTCTGGGTACCCCCAAAGTGGATGCAAATGGATGCAGAAACATGGCAGAGGGCATTGTGTCTCCATTGGGGGGGGGCGGTTCTTGAGGCTTATGAAGAGACACCTCAGGATAAAAACTCTGTTAAACATGTTAGTAACAAGTGAGAGGATAAAGAGAAGTCTCTAAACTTGAGGTGAGCTAAACACTTTCATTTTGAGCCTGGGGTATGCCTTGTTTATGTGGGATGCAAAAAAATGAGAAGAGCCTTTCCTCCATGAGGGACATGGAAGGAATTGGTCATTAGAATTTTCACAGGGCAGCAAGACCCAAGGCTGAAAGGCCAGTCAAGCACAGGGCCGTCCTTGAAGATCAGTGGGTAGGCAGGGTATTTTGGCCTTCTCAGACAAGAAGATGGGGCTGGCAAGTTGATTTGGTGTGTAAAGGCACTTGCTGCCAAGCCTGATTAGGTCTCTGGGACCCACATGGTAAAAAAGTTGACTCCTGGCAGCTGATTACTACTGGGTGAGAATGAGTTGATCTTAGAGGGATTCTAGATAGACTGACTAGATCCTGGTGGGTGAATTTGCACAGAGGGACATCTGGGGACACTAACTTTACATAATAGACCTTAACACAAATGACAAGATATGAACTCTGGTGGGGGGGCTTTGGGAGGGTGACAAAGGGGAAGGGGATATAAAGATGATTTTGTTATGAAATACACAAAAATTCAATAAATTAAAGAAGGATTGACTCCTTCAAAATTGTCCTCTGACCTCCACATACTGGCCAAGGCATTTGTGTACCAACACACATACCCTTAAGTTGAACATACTAAATTACCATAGCACATTCTAGCAAAATCAAGCTATACTTGGGCACGTAGTAATATGACTGTTGATCAACAAGCCAGACTGCTGCCTCTCCATAGAGGCTAACTGACACTGATGGGCACTAATGAGCACATAACCACTGACTCATCACATCACTTCTGTGTTTTGGAGGCTGTCATCATCCATAGCACATGGCTGTCTTGTGTATGAGTGTTGCATGTATGTATGTAAGTACACCCATGTTTGCAATACTCACAGAGGTCAGAAGAGGGCATTGGATCCCCTGGAACTGGAGATATGGACAGCTGCTGGGAGCCAAACCTGGGTCCTTTGAAAGAGCAGCCAGTGCCCTTAACACTGAGCCATTTCTCCAGTCCCTCTTGTTTTATTCATGAGAAACCTGGCGTGGAGGTGTACGATTAAAACCCTGAGGTGGGAGGGTCTCTTGAACACAGGAGTGCCCCCCAAAAAAGGTAGGCCCGGTTTATTGGCTCATGCCTTTAGTCCCCACACTCCAGAGGCAGAGGCTGATCTACAAAAGCACTTTTTAAAAAGTGTGTGTGTGTGTGTGTGTGTGTGTGTGTGTGTGTGTGTGTGTATACAGTGCTCACAGAGGCCAGAAAAGGGTGTCATCCCCCAGGGCTGGAATTGCAGGTGGTTCCAGGCCAGCCAGGGCTACATAGAGACCTTGTGTCAACCAAAATAAAATTAAAACATGCTAGGGGGACTGGACAAATGGCTCACCCATTAAGAGCACTGACTTTTTTTGCAGAGGACCCAGGTTCAATTCCCAGCACCCACATGGCATCTAACAACTGTCTGTAACTCCAGTTTCAGGGGATCTAACACCCCCTTCTCACCTCCATGGTCATTGCACAATACAGATGCACATGTAGGCAATAAACTCACATAATAAAAAGATTTTAATGAAAACGAGTTAGGCATGTGGTGCAAACCTATAATCCCAGCACTAGAGATGGGAGAAGGGCTGGAGAGATGGCTCAGCAGTTAAGAGCACTTCTGATCCTGCAGAGGACCCAGGTTTGGTTCCCAGCATCCACATGGTGGCTCACAACTGTCTATAACTCTAGTTCCAGAGGATCTGATGCTCTTCCTGGCCCCATGCAAATAAAATAAGCTGGGCATGGTGGTCGTGCACACCTTTAATCCCAGCACTCAGGAGGCAGGGCCAGTTTGATCTCTGTAGGATGGAGGCCAGCTTGATCTACATAGCAAGTCCAGGCCAGCTGGGGCTACAGGGATAAGGCAGGGTGTAGTGGCACACCCCTTTAATCCTAGCACTGTGAGTTCAAGGCCAACCTGGTCTACATAGTGAGTTCCAGGCCACCTGGGGCTACAGGGAGACCCTGCCTCAAAAAGACCAAAAAAAAAAAAAAAAAAAAAAAGGACCAAAAAATAAATTAGATTAGGGGGATATAGTCTCTACATTCATTTATTAGTACCTGAAAGTCATGATATCTTTGGTAAAATGCCAATGCCAGATGTGGTCGCACATACCTGTAATTCCAGAATTTGGGAGTCTGAGGCCGGAGGATTTTGAGTTCAAGGTCAGCCTGGACTATTCCAAAGGGGAATAAAAAAATCCATGCTAAACTAGTGGATTTTTTTTCCATTGGTATTTATCAACAATTGAAAACTGTAGCTTTGAAATTTTTAATTTATTTTTATGTGTGTGTATTGCCTGCATGCAAATGCAGCCATGTCGTGCAAAGGACAGAAGAGGTCATCGGATCCCCTGAAACTAGAGTTACAAACAGTTGTTAGCTGTCATGTGGGTCCTGGTATTTGAACCTGGGTCTTCTGCAAGAACAGCTAGTGCTCTTAACTGCTGAGCCATCTCTACAGCCCTAGTTTTGGAAATTTTAAATTGTTTCTATGGCCAGGTGTGGTGGTGCACACCTTTAATCCCAGCTGGCAGAGGCCACTGGCAGATCACTGTGAGTTCAAGGCCAGCCTGGTCTACATATCAAGCTCCAGGCCAGCTGGAACTATAAGGAGACCCTGTCTCAAAAAAAGACCCCTCCCAAAAAAGTTTTTATTATTCTAAGAAACAGGTTTCTGACCTAAGAAGGGCAAATTAAAGACCAACTGCAGGAATAAATAGTGGGGGTGGGGGTTGGGGAGATAGGTATCACTAGCTAGAACTCACTTTGTGGACCAGGCTGACCTGGGACTCAGATCTGCTACCTCTGCTCCCTGCACCATCAACCATGCCTGTACAACCTTTTTCTCCTTTTCTTTTTTTTTTTTTGAAAGTGCACCACATGCATGTAGTGCCTATGGAAGCCAGAAGAGGGAATCAGATCTTGTGAACTGGAGTTAAGGGTTGTCACCACATGGGTGCTGGGAACCAAACCTGGGTCCTCTGCAAGAGCAGCCACTTAACTACTGAATGAATCCCAGCACCTCGTGGCAGCTAACTACTGACCTTAACTCCAGTTCCAGGGGATCTGATGCCCTCCTCCATCCTCCGCAGACATTGCACAACATGTGTGCACTTACATACATTCAGGAATAACACTCATACACATAAACAAACAAATAAATTCATTTTAGGGGGCTGAGGCGATTGCTCAGTGGGTAAAGTGTTTGCCTTATAAGCCTGAGGATTGGAGTTCAGATCCCCAGCACCCAAGTAAATGCCACTGCTGCCTGCTTATAATCCCAGTGCTCAAGACATGGAGATGAGATCCTCAGAACAAACTGGCTAGCTAGAATAGCAGAATTGGTGAGCTCTGTATTCAAATGTTTCAATAAATAAGGTGAAGAGCAATTGAGGAAGACACCCAATGTCAAACTCCAGCCTCCATGCACACATACATATATTTGAACACACACACACACACACACACACACACACAACATTCATTTTAGCTGAGAGAGGCCTTGCCCTTATTGTCTCTGCACAGAGCCATGCCTGCATCCATGGCTGTCTGCTCCCACTCCATGTGAAGATGGTGGTGCTGTCTCCTTAGCATCCCTGCCCTGGCTAAAGTATCACAATTTTCACTGTTACCTGTTCTTTTCTGACTCAGAAAAGTTCAGAACCTATCCTTGTAAGGCAGAAAGATTAACAAGGTGGTTCCTGAGGTTGATTAGATAATAAACTCATGCATTTAGGGACACTAATAAAACCTGCCATTGTAGAATGTTGGAAGGTGAGCTTGCCCTGAGACCAGAAAATGCAACCTTAATAGACCAGGCTGGCCTTGAACTCACAGAGATCCATCTGCCTCTGCCTCTCGAGTGCTGGGATTAAAGGCATGTGCCACTATGCCTGGCTAATAGTGTTCTTTAAAAAAAAAAAATTATTTTATGTGTATGAGTGTATTATCTGCATGTAGGTACAGTGCACCCCTGTCGTGCAATGCCCGCAGAGGTCAGAAGAGGCTGTTGGATCCCCTGGAACTGGAGTTATGGACCGTTGTTAGCTGTCATGTGGGTGCTGGGATTCGAACCCGGGTCTTTTGCAAGAACAGTCAGTGTTCTTAACCGCTGAGCTATCTCTCCAGCCCCAATAGTGCTCTTTTTTTTACACTGGGGTGGAGGTAGAGGGGTCAACTTCTGCCCTAGGGTGTGTACATCTGAGGACCATCCAGCCTAAGGAAAGCAGAGTACAAAAATGCCTTGGCGCTTAGCCACTGCTATGTCCTCTCTGCCCATTTTTGGTTATAATCTAGGCTTAATTTTCTTCTGAGGCTATGATGTCCCAATTATGATAGAGCCTGTCCTCCCTCTTCCCACCTGTCAGTTTTGAGGAAAGAAGTGTTCCCACACAGTGAGCTGCATTACTGTGGGGACTCAGACCTTCCTGATTTCAGGATTCCTCCAGGAACCCCTAGACTGGGTCTCAACGGCCGTGCCACCCTGCACACTGGGCAGCTTCTTCCTAAGGCCTGGCTATTGTAGGACTCCTCCGTGGGCCAGTCTGACCCCAAAAAGAAAGTCGTAAGAAACCGTCAGAGTCTGGTGGTAAATAAAAAAATAAATAAAAATAAAAATAAAAGCTCATGGGAGCGAAGTCATTAGCCTCCACACACCGAGTCAGCAGGCGCTACCACTCCCCACCCTTCTCCCAGGAGCTAGAAAATGCCATCTACACTTTTCTGGGAGATGGTAAGGGGTCGCTTTCACCCAAGAACGGAGAAACTACCAGTGGCACCGGGGTCTACCCTGATAGTGTTGCCCAGGTCTGCCTCTACATTGGAGGGGATGTCTTCTGCCCTGGGGAATGTACAGCTCTGCCGAACGCTACCCAGGGCAGGCCCGGGTCTCAAGCGCCAGGGGCCGAGCTCAGCGCGGGCGGATGCTGTTCCCGGCCGGCGCGGCATCCCCAAGCACTGTCTCCTAGTGACCGCGGTGCGCGGACGCCGCGATCCTGGGCCAGGCGACTGCGCAGCGCGAGCACCCCCGCGGCCCCTCCCCTGGGCGCGCGCGCGACCTGGGCGCCATGGCGGCGGCGACGGAGCGGCGGCCTGAGGCCGAGGCGGGGGACGAGGCCTCGAGTCCGCAGTGGGCCGGGGTAGCGACCCGACTAGGAGAAGGCGAAGATGCACCGGTGCGGCCTCTGTGCAAGCCGCGGGGCATCTGTTCCCGCGCCTACTTCTTGGTGCTGATGGTGTTCGTGCATCTTTACCTGGGCAACGTGCTGGCGCTGCTGCTCTTCGTGCACTACAGCAACGGCGACGAAAGCTCGGACCCTGGACCCCAGAACCACGCGCAAAGCTCTCGGGCCATGCCAACCTTGGGTCCCCTCACCCGGCTGGAAGGCATCAAGGTGAGGACATCCTCTCCCCACGCTGCGCTGCTCTCCAAGCACTGCCTGGCGGAGCCGGAGCGGTCGGGCGCTCAGCTCTGAGACCCCAGGCTGCCCCACGCATCACTCCGTGCGAGTCCCGCGTGCGCCCTAGTACGGGACTTTCTTGAGCAGTGAGGCCTGGCGCCCCAGCAGTCCGCTGTGTACTTTTTCTTTAGGTGGGATACGAGCGTAAGGTCCAGCTGGTCACCGACAGGGCTCACTTCATCCGAACCCTCAGTCTCAAGCCGTTGCTCTTTGGTAAGTCTGCAGGACACTTCTGGGAAGGGCTACCCTCATGCTTTCTGTTTTGAAAATGGCTGCTTCTTAATAGTACTTTTCCACCCACTCAGAGGTACCAAAGTAGAGCCCCCTTCTTCATAATAAAGTAAAAGAAGGTGACTTTCACATTCTTTTTCAGAGATGTGCTTCCTTACCTAACAGAGCTGGCTGAGCAACAAGATCCTGAGATAAACTGGGCCTGGTGGTCCCATGTTTAATCCCAGCACAGGGGAGGTAGAGGCAGGTGGATCTCTGTGACTTCAAGGCCAACCAGACCTACAAAGGGAGACCCTGTTTCAAAACAGACAAAAAAGCACTTGAGACAAGTGTCCAAACATTTCACTGATCACTGTCACCTTCAAGAATGTGGGGAGGGAATGGCGTGAGACTGATAACTAGGTGCCAGATAACCTCAGGGCCTCAGGTGGAAATCACACTGCTAAAGCTGACCCCCAGATCTGTTGACAGTCTGGCTTTCCAGTTGAGTATAAAATGATGCCCTCCATCCTGCCCCTCTGGGCCATCAGTCAAAATCTCAGTACATGAGATTCTTGAGATTCTTGTCTTTTGGCCTTCATGGGCAGAGCCTTTCAGGGTGGCCCTGTTTATAGCCACATTGCACAGCTGCTCTTTTCTGAGTTATTACATGATAGGTTTCACATAGTTATTTTGTTTAAGTCTTACACAAAAGGTATAGTACTAGCTGTGAAAATCTTCCAAAGACTACCAGTGTCAACCAGGTGAGGGCATCACACCCATGGACCTTGCACAGGCTAAATTTTTTGTGCAGTCCAGTCCTGGATACCTGGCCTCCATGATTGTATTAGCAGACCCAGGGCTGTCCTTGGCTTCTGGGGGAGGAAGTTGAAGAGAGTTTTAAGAAGATGCCTATGGGCTGGGGGGATGGTTCAGGTAAAGGTGCTTCCTACCAAGCCTAACAACCTAAATTCAACTAATTCCAGTATTTGGGAGGCAGAGGCGGGTAGTTCTCTGAGTTCAAAGCCAGCCTGGTCTACATAGAGTTCCAGGGTTATAGGGAGATCCTGTCTCAAAAAGACCGAAAAAAACCCACACAAAACAACCTAAATTCAGTCCCTGAGACTCACATGATGGAAAGAACTGATGCCCACAAGCTGACTTCTGACTTCCACACTCACACTGACACATTCTGGCACTCAACAAATAAATGAATGTAAACTTAGCTTTAAGGGGTTGGGGTGAGGCCAAAGCTGAGGACATGCCCTCTCTCCTCAGCAGAGGGCTTTGGCTGGGTATTATGGGTAAGAACTGTAAGAAGGTCATGTGTATGCTGTTTGTGAGGAACTAAGATATGCTGCCCAAGGGCCCTCAAAGGTTATGAACTGCTGTTTTTAACACTGTTACTGTTGAATGGTGTTGAAGCCTATATCAGGTACTATTTTAGGTACTGGGAGCACAGCTTTGCTTGAAACAACACTGAAACTGATATTCAAATGAAGAGGAAACTGGAGAAACAATTAACTAGACAGGATGTGCTACAGAAGGAAGAGATGCATGAATAAAGAGAAATAAGACAGACTTTCACCCAGGGATGAAACTTTTAATAGGGTGACAAGGGTGGCTTTCTCTGAGAAAAATATTTGTGCAAGAATATGTAGGACATGTAAGATCCAGCCTGGTGGCTGCTAGGGAAGGGTGATGAAGGCCAAGGGAGCCATTCTTACCCCATTTCTATGGCACTTCTGTGAACAGAAAGTTGTGTTTTCTTTCCTTTCTTTCTTTCTTTCTTTCTTTCTTTCTTTCTTTCTTTCTTTCTTTCGTTTTTTGGTCTTTTTTGAGACAGGGTCTCCCTGTAGCCCCAGCTGTCCTGGAACTCACTGGTAGACCAGGCTGGCCTTGAACTCACAGAAATCCTCCTGCCTCTGCCTCCCAAGTGCTGGGACTACAGGTGTCCGCCACCACATGCGGCCATTTCTTTTTTTATTTTATGTGCATGAGTGATTGCCTGCATGTATGTAAGTGTACCCATGTCATGCAATGCCTTCAGAGGTCAGAAGAGGGCATTGGATCCCTAGGAACTGGAGTTACAGATGGTTGTTAGCCTCCATGCGTGTGCTGGTTATCAAACCTGGGTCCTCTGCAAGAGCAGCCAGTGCTCTTAACCACTGAGCCATCTCTCCAGCCTGTATATGTCTAGTTCAAGTGAATGTTGGGTAAAGTGAGCCACAGAAGTTGAGTCCTCCTAATCTGTAGCTTGTCCTATAAAAAAGATAATTAAAAACCCAAACTTGGGGCTGGAGAGATGGCTCAGCAGTAAAGAGCCAGCTGCTCTTGCAAAGGACCTGGGTTTGGTTCCCAGCACCCACATGCTGGCTAACAATCATCTGTAACTCCAGTTCTAGGGGATCCAAAGCTCCCTTCTTGCATCTACGGGCATTGCACATATGTGGTGGTACACTTACAGGTAAACAGAACATTCATATACATAAAATAAATAAATAAAATTTTATAAAGAAGTCCATTCATGAGTAAGGGAAGCCATAGAGGAAAGTGTTCTGAAGCAAGGCAGTTCCAGAATGCTGTGTTGTTTACTGAATCTAAAGAATGCTTCATCTGCTGGGCATGGTGGTACACACCTTTAACCTCAGCACTCAGGAGGCAGAGGCAGGCAGATCTCTGAGATCGAGGCCAGCCTGGTCTACATAGTGATTTTCAGGCTAGCTAGGACTACAGGGAGACCCTGTCTCAAAAAAACACAAAAAGAAAAGAAAGAAAGACTATGATTCTGGAAGGAGTCTGTCTTCTATCCTTGCCTATCCATTGGTCTGCTGTCTATGATCATCCTAAAGAGGTAGGCAGAGCTTGGGGAAAGGGCCTACCGTAAATAAGCTCTACCCTCTGTACTCTGATGCTCTTATCTGTGACTTACCAGATGTCAGTGATCAAGGAGTGGTTGGCTCAAGCTATAAGCTGGGGCTTTTTTTTTTTTTTTTTTTTTTCCAGACAGGGTCTAACAAGATAGTCCCGACTGGCCTGAAACTCACTATATAGACTAGGCTGGTCTTGAACTCACAGAGATCCACCTGCCTCTGCCTTCCAAGTGCTGGGATTTAAGGTATGTGCCTAGGGCTGGAGAGATGGCTAAGCAGTTAAGAGCAGTATTAACTGGCTGCTCTTGCAGAAGACTGGGGTTCAGTTTCCAGCACCCACATGGTGACTGATACCTGTGCTTAACTCCAGTTCCAAGGGATCTCTCACACTCTCTTCTGACCACTGTGGGCATTGCACGACATTGGTGCACTTACATACATTCAGAGGAAACATTCAAACACATAAAATAAATACTTAAAGATGTGCACCACCATGCCCAGCTTGTGCTGGGGCATTTTGAAGAAGGATCTTGATATGTATCCCAGGTACTGGCCTAGAGCTTGCTGTGTAGCCCAGATTGACTTCAAACTCAGAAGCTTCCTGTCTCTGCCTGTGCCACGATGCCCAGCCAGTCTCTCTCTTTGGGCAACATTTCTTCCTATCTTTGTTCCTAGAGACACTAGGCAAATGTGACCTAAGCAACAAAAGAGCCTACCCTGAGCACCTGGAACCCTGGGGATCATCTGTCCTGTGAGCTGAACAGAACAGAACCATCCTGAGTCATTGTCATCTCTTTGGGGATATTGTTATCCTATACTTCTCCCTTCACCGCACACTACCTCATCCTTATGCTCTCTCTCTCTCGTTCTCTCGTTCTCTCTCTCTCTCATTGCTTTTTTAAAAAAAAGATTTGTTAAATCCCAGCACTCAGGAGGCAGAGGCAGGTGGATCTCTGTGAGTTCAAGAAGGCCCCCCAAAAGATTTGTTTCAGGTATATGTGTGGAGCCTGAGTGTCTGTATGTGTACCACCCACATGCCTGCAGTGCCCTCAAAAGCCAGAAGAGGGCATCAAATTCTGTGGAACTGGAGTTATAGGTGGTTCTTAGCCACCATGTGGGTGCTCCTCTGCAAGAGCCGTAGTTTTTGTAACCACTGAACCATCTCTCTAGCCCTTTGCTTTTTTTAAAGATTTTTTTATTCCATGTATATGAGTATTTTGCCTGCATGTATATATGCACACTGTGTGTGTGTGTGAGTGTGTGTGGTGTCCCCAGAGGCCAGAAGAGGGCATCAGATCCCCTGGAAATGGAATTACAGACAATTGTGAGCCACTATGTGGGTGCTGGGACCTGAACCCGTTCATTTTGCAAGAGCAGTGTTTTTAACCATGGAGCCATCCAGCCTTGCCTTTTTGTTTTGTTTTGAAGACAGGGTCACTCTGTAGCCCTGGCTGGTCTGGAACCCTCTATGTAGACTAGGCTGGCCACAATCTCACAGAGATCTGCCTGCCTCTGCCTCCTGAGTGCTGTTGTTAAAAGCATGCACCACCATGCCTGACCCTCCCCTTATTTAAATTTTACTATTATTGTGTGTGTGTGTGTGTGTGTGTGTGTGTGTGTGTGTTCAGGCTCTAATTCCAGAGCATGGGTGTGGTGATCAGAGGACAACTTTCAGGAATCTGTTCTCTCCTTCCACCATGGGTCCCAGGGATTGAACTCAGATAATCAGGCTTTGTACTGAAAGTACCTTTACCCACTGAGCCATCTTTATTTTTTTGAGCCAGGGTCTCTCACTAAACCTGTAAGTCACTCATTTAGGTAGACTGACTGGCCAGTGAGCTCCCAGAATCCTCCTGACTCCACTTCCCCATCATTGAGATTATAGGTGTGTACCAGCTTCTCATGTGGGTGCTGGCAAGCCAAACTCAGGTCCATGGAAGGACTTTGCTGCTGACTGAGCCATCTCCCTAGCACACACCCTGCTTTCTGTCTTTTTTGTTTGTTTGTTTGTCTTTTTGAGACAGGGTCTCCCTATAGCCCTAGCTGTCCTGGAATTCACTGTGTAGACCAGGCTGGCCTTGAACTCACAGAGATCTGCCTACCTCTGCCTCCTCAGTGCTGGGATTAAAGGCGTGCACCACCACACCTGGCTGTTTTTTGAGGCAGGATCTCTCCATAGCCCTAGCTGGCCTGGAACTCATTAGGTAGACCAGGCTGGGCTCTATTTCACAGAGATCCCCCCTGCCTTTGCCCCCCAAGTGCTAGAATTAAAGTCATATGCCATCACACCTGGCCTCCATCCTTTTTTGTGGGGGATAGAGTCTCATTATGTGGCCCTGGCTGGCCTGGAATGCAATATGTAGACCAGGCTGTCATTGAATTCACAGAGATCTGTCTGCCTCTGCCTCCTGGGATTAAAGGTATGTGCCATTGTCTCCAGAAAAATATGTATCTTTTAAAACTCTAATTGGGCATAGAATCTGGATGCCCCTCTTACATATGCCATGCACAAGAGATGTATAAAGGGACACTCAGTGGGAAAAGGGCTTGTCACACAAGTGTAGGGACCTCAGTTAAAATCCCGAGAACCCACATAAAAGCTGTGCACATGCCTGTAATCCCAGTACTCCTGTGACAAGATGGGAGGTGGAGATGTGAGAACCCCTGGAAGCTTTGGGGCAGTTAGCCTGGAGGTGTGTGCAGTGGGAGCAATGGAAAAAGAGTCCTGTCTCCAACAAGGGGAAAGCACTGACTGACACCTGAGTTTCTTTTCTGACCTAAACACACATCTGCATCACACACACACACACAGCACGCGCACAAGATGTGTAAAGGGTGCTCTCCAGAATCATTAGTGCAGAACATGAGCCTGCAAATCACAGTCCCTTCAGCTGGCATGCTGCAAAGGAGTGGGGGTGGTGCGTTAGTAAGGATACAGGTCCTGTTGCCCAACCCCCTGCCTTTTTACTCTTTTGAGACAGCTATCTTTTGTAGGGGGGGGTCCCCTTTCCCGCCTGAGTCTAGTTTACTTGACTCAGGGGTGATTTGAAAGGGTGGGGTGTGGCTATGGCATCAACCACAGTGGAGACCTCTTGCCAAGACTCAAGTAGAGTGCTCAGGTGTGAGCCCTTAACCGCTGCAGTGACACAGAGATCAAATGTAGCCCACAGTAAAGTGTCTGCAGTGCAAGAGGGTTGGCCAGGTAAAGCCATAGCAGGCCATGGTGGGCACATAGCTTTCCTGTAGGGTCTCTCACAGGCTGTGACATGGTAGATGACCCTGCAGTATAAGGAACTGAGTGACCCACAGGAGACTCTCACGTTCCTAGCACTGCCATTGGCAAGGAATGCTCTGTGGTTGCTGGGCAACAACACTCTGGTCACCTAGCAACAGCCATGCAGCCTGGTTTTCTGCTGGGGCCACTTCTCATACCTCAGCCCTTCCCCCCTTCCCTCCCCACCCTCCTCCCTCTAACCCAGGCTCTGTTCCAGCTTTCCAGTGCACCTCCCCCTCCAGCTCCCTGTGGGAGGGCCCTGCAGCCTGGGTCTTCACCAGCACCAAAAAACAGAGAAAGCAGAGCCCTCCCTCTTCTCCTAAAGTCCTTCTGCTCAGAAGGGGCTGAGGAAATGCTGTTCAGAGGCTAGGTTAGGCAGGAGTGGAACAATCAGAGTTGTGAACTTTGGGCTCCATCTCTTGCAAGCATCCCTTGGGCAGACAGAGCTTCCACATCTCACTGGAAAGAAGTCCTGGTCTCCAGTCTGAAGTGGCCCTGCCTCTTGGCCTGTCTTGATATTCAAGAGACTTTGATAGTTTGTGGTTACAGACCAAGGACCCATGTTCAGCACTGGTGATCTTTGCCTATGTCATCTCTGTCCCAGGGGTACCTCTGCCAGGAACAGTAACAACAAAAAGCCTCCCTGCCCCCATCAGCACCCAATGCAGATAGGTATTCAGAGGATTGGTAAAGATCTGGGCTGTCAAAGCAGGCCCTCCTACCCTACTTCCTGCACCTGGGAGCCTTTGCCCTGCCTGTCAAGGCACACAGGGGCAAAGAGGGAGCAGAAGAAAAACCCCAAGACATTGGAGTGGCATTTCCAGGCAAGCAGGAACAGCCAGCTGACCTGCTACTGAATGGCTTTGGCTGCTGTGCCATGGTCCAGTAAGTCAGAGAGCACATCTCTGGGTACCCAGTGTTGTGGAATGGGCATGTGTAGGTCCTCAGGTGCTGTGCCATCTCTCCACAGAACCACCAGTGTCACCAGAAACCAAAGCTCTCTCTCCATCAGTTTGAGGTATTAAGGGCTCTTTATAAGGTTATACCCACACCCAGGTGTCTTCATCTGCCTGATTAGGACCCTGATATAGACTTGGCTATTTGCTTGTTTTTTGTTATTGTTGTTCTTTTTGAGACAGTCTTCCTGTACCTCAGCTGATCTGGAACTTGCTATGTAGACCAGGCTGGCCTCAGTCTCATGGAGTTCCACCTGTCTCTGCCTCCCAAGTGCTAGGATTAAAGGCCTGTACCACACACCTGGCTTTTATTTGCTTGTTTTGTGTTCTTTTGTTTGAGACAGGGTGTAATGTAGCTCAGGCTGGCCTTGAATGTGCTATGTAGCCAAAGGTGACCTTGAATTTGTGATCTTTCTCTACTTCCTAAGTGCTGGGATCACAGGTGTGGGCTACCATGCCTGGTTTTATATGGTGCTAGAGATCAAACCCAGGGCTTCACGCATGCTAGGAAAAGACTCTTCCAACTGAGCTGCATCCCTAGGCCTAGCTGTTTCCTTTTGATTGACAAGGGGGAGGCGGCTACAGGCATCTCCACTGGATATGCAGATTACTGGTACCAAATAAACTGAAGAAATCTAGACCTGTGTTTTCTTTTCCTTTTTTTGGCTTTTCTACTTATGTTCTCTGTGTTAAGCGATCAAAAGGTGATTGCTGATTAGCAATTGGGCCTGTCCCACCATCCAGCAGTGTCTGGCTCACACCCTTTCCCGGTTTAATGGATTGAGGGTTCTGCAGGTTAGGGGTGGGGGCTTTTGTTTTGTCCTCTCTTCAGGGTCATCACATCTAGGATACCAACACATACTGTTGGAAACCCACTCTGATCTTGAGCCTAGATTCTGGGTACAACAGCCTGAACTGCGCTGGGAAAATCACTGCTGTCTCTATGCTTTGGGTTCCTTGTGTATTGGAGAGCAATGGGGTCTGGCTTCTAGAATGAAAGTTGAAACTAAAGAGTTGATTGTGATGAATGCTTAGGTTAGTGCCTTGGGCAGAGTGTGATCTCCTGTGGTCAGTGTTCAAAATGGCTCACATTCTTGCTGCAGCGCTGCTTTATGTCCTCCGGGCAGTGGCTGCCTAATGCTAGAAGTGTGACTAGAGAATGGCAGATCACTCTGCAGGCTGCAGTGTAGCCATCCTCTTGCTGGCTCCTCTTCCTAGGAGCAAGGCAAGGAGACAAGACTCCAGCTTCTGTCCTGGAGACGCCTGGGCTTGTGAGGATGGAGGTTGCTAAGGTTTGAGTCTCACAGTCCAGTTCTACCAGACCACCTAACAGCTGTGGCTGGAGTGTGGACATCTAGCTACTAGGCCAAGTCCCAGGCCTGACCAGTCTTTACTCTGGGACTTAGATGCATGGAGTGGTGCTAAGTGCTCCCCACTCACCTCTCAGCACAGTGCAACTCAGCCTTGGTCAGATGATTTGCATTTATTTGTGCAGAACAGAGGGCAAGGCTCTTGAACTGACCTAATGTATTGGATGTCCTTAATAATGCTGAAAGGAAAACTGAAGGCAAGAGTCAGCCACCATCTCTACAATCTTTAACATATAACCACATAGGAACTATACAGGAAGAAATCAAACTGAATGTGAGGACACCCACCTATAATCCCAGCACTGGGAGGTGAAGGCAAGGAGGAGTAGGAGTTCAAGGCTACATAGCAAGTTCAAGGCCAGCCTAGCCTACATGAAACAGTCTCAACAAAATAAAATGGGGGAGCCAGGTGTGGTAGGGCACACCATTATCCCAGCACTCTGGAGACAAAGGTAAGTGGATTTCTATGATTTTGAGACCAACCTGCTCTACATATCAAGTCCAGGCCAGCCAGGGCTACATAGTGAGACCCTGTCTCAAAAAACCACACACACACACACACACACACACACACACACACACACACACGCACACACAAAGATGTAGGCAAAAAACAAAGCTAGGTAACTAGGTAATAGCAACATGAATAAACACACCCAGATGGTCAGAACTATCAGTAAATATGGGGCCTACTATGGTGTCTCTCTCCACAAAATGGTGAAAAAAATTGAAACTAGCCAGCACACCAAATATACTTTCTCCTTCTGTAGCAAAACTAAGATGAAGAGATGGGCCATGGGTATTTAGCAGTGGTTCCTGCATGAAAACAGTAGCCAGTGGAGCCTGGACTTACAAGACGTCACGTCTTAGACATGATGTCACGTCTGCCATCAGAAGACTGAAGAAACAGAGACCAGGAGATGTGGCACTATTTAAGAATCCCTAGCTTACAATGAATGGGTTAATTTACATCTTTAAAAAAAAAAAAAAAGAAAAAAAAAAAGAGGTCCACCCTCTGCCATTCAAATCCACACTCTGGATCTCAGTTTCACACTGAGGTTCCAACTCACTCCCAGGAGCCCCCTGGAAAATGTGTTGTAATCAAAGAGGCAGGCCAAGAGGCCCCTCATTCCAAATGCTAGCCAAGTCTTGCAAAATACTCAACCTTTACATAGAGTCCAGAGCAGATGTAAATGGATGTGGAAAGTCCTCCAGACCTGGTGGCCACCAAGGAACAGAAAATACTCTTGTAGGGGGGAAGGTACTTGGTGCCTAGTATCCCAGCTCAGTCCTTGGCTTCACCCACCCCCTCTCCTGACAGAAATTCCGGGCTTCCTGAGTGATGAGGAATGTCGGCTCATCATCCACCTGGCACAGATGAAGGGGCTACAGCGCAGCCAGATCCTTCCCACTGAGGAATATGAGGAGGCGATGAACACCATGCAGATCAGCCAGGTGGACCTCTTCCAGCTGCTGGATCAGAACCACGACGGTCTCCTGCAGCTCCGAGAGGTTGGGATCCTGGGGTCTGAATAGGTACAGGGAGGGAGGGGGTGCCTAGAATTCCCTTTCTGGTAGCCATACCACCTGTCCAGCTCAACCTTGGCCTTTACAGTCAGATACTACCCCAGGCCTATTTGGGCATGCCAAGGTCCAGGGTCCATTCCCAACTCTTCTGGAGAGCTCCTTGCTGCTCTGGAAACCCTAGAAGATAGCAGGGGAATCCCCCTGGGTGTGGCATTTATCACTAGTTTTTGAGTGGTATACTTTTTATGGACTGGATTCCTTGCTGCCATCTCTAAAGACTCCACAGATCCACAGATGATGAAGTGGAAACTCTGCGCCTGCCCCAGCCCTTAAGTCTTTCCAATCTGGTCTTCTAAGAAAAGTCTGATGGGGAGAGGTGGGGGGGATTCAGCTTCTCACACTGAACACCTCACTGAACCTGCTGGGGTCTTAGTAGTTAAGTCCCAGCCAAGTCTCCCCCTGGTGCCTTCCCCCTCTTGGTAACCAGACCTTCACCTTCCCCTGCTCTCACATGGAGTGTCTCAGGGTGACATAGGCCTGTTCTCCACACTGCCTCCAACTAGCCAACAGTGCTCCCGATGGCCACAGTCCCAGGCCTGGGAATAGGGACAGCCCTCACACACCTGCACCTCCTTTCTGGCTTCCTTCACAGATGTCATGAACGTCTCTGTTCACCTTCACCTCAGTCCAGAGACCTGGGACTCTAGCCTGTGTCCTCACCCATGTCCTACCATTGGACCCCCCCCCCCCCCTTAGCACTACATCAAGGCTTGTTCCATACCTGTTCTGTTGGCTTGTACTACTGGGAGGAACCCCACAATGAAGAACATTCCTATGTGTTAGGTCCTGGCCCAGACTCGCCTGGGAAATGGACGGTGGATGACTCCAGAGAACATTCAGGAGATGTACTCTGCAATCAAGGCAGACCCTGATGGTGATGGTGAGCTCATACCTTCCACATAGTTCTGTACTTCAGCTGTCTCCTGGCAGGAGTGCAGTCTGGAAAGCTTGTGCCCTTCCCCCGCTGCAGGCAGCTTCCATGCCCAGCTCCTATAGTGGCCAGAGATAAGGAGGTGAGCCAGCTTTGTCCTTCACTCCTGGGAAGCAGGCAGAAATCCTGACCCCTTTGTTCTTGGTTGTCTACAGGACAACTCCTGGAGATCCTTTTGACTTCATCAGGCAGTCCAGTGAACAGAGAGTGAATAATTTAGCTTTGGCCTGTGGCTAGAGGGCTATCATAATGTCCTTAGTATAATGTCAGACTTTCAGCCCTTAAATGTCCCTCATCCTTGGAGGAATCTGGGTCAAGGAATGGGAGGGGTTCCCCTTGGGTTTCCAGAGTGACAGAGCAAAGCTACCAGTCACTCTTCTAAAACCCCTGATGGTACACCCTGCTTAGTAGTTTGCAGGAACAAGGGAGTCTGCTCTCATTCCAGGGAGTGGTCAGGATTTCTTTGCAAAGGTGGACTGGTAATGTCGCAGGAAGTACTGGCCAATTGGGTTCCTCCCAGGATAGGAAGGAACCTCTGGGGACTGGCCTGCCTTCACCCTACAGTGTGGAAGACCCTGGAGCAGACTCAGCACTGGCTGTTCTCTCCTCTACAGCTTGGAACATAGCCACCACATTCTACAGGGGAGGCTGCAGAGCCTGGGGTGGTCCTTGCCCTAGGGCCCTGGCCATATGGCTGGAGCTTCCTTTGGAGACCCTGCTCTGGCACTCTAACAGGGTTGGGCTTCTTCCTTTTTGGGACCAAATCAAAGCTTAAACAGAAAACAAACTTCTCTGGGTCTTCCCTCAGGGCCTGATGTGACAGAAACCAGGTTCATCTGACCCAAGAGTCCAGGTGGGGACAAGTGTACATGGCCCCCCAGTGCCTGAGGCCAGGGGCTGCTGCTGCCTTTTGGGGTAGGTAGGGCGGTGCTGCCTACCGCTGTGGTCTCTGCACATGGGTCTGGCAGGCACTGATGATGACATGTACTCTGTACAGGAGTGCTGAGTCTGCAGGAGTTTTCCAACATGGACCTTCGAGACTTCCACAAGTACATGAGGAACCATAAGGCAGAATCCAGTGAGCTGGTACGGAACAGCCACCACACATGGCTCTACCAGGGTGAGGGTGCTCATCACGTCATGCGTGCCATCCGCCAGAGGTGAGCACCTGGGGCTGACCTCTCTGGGGCAGGGCCTCCACATAACTCCTTAACCAGGGAATTGATTAGCTAATTTGGTATTGAGTTCCAATTGTTAGACCAGGAATGGGACTCACTGAAAAACAAACAATTAAGGCAAATTAGCCCTAGTTGTGGAGAAACAATTGGCATTAGAAATAAATCAAGAATTTATTTTCTGTTACAGAAATGAAGTCTTATTTCTACCCACAGAACCCCTTGCCCTTGGACCAAGCTAGGTTTTAGGAGTTAGGCTGGTGACTCACAACTGTAAGTCCAGGAAGCTGAAGGTTGAAGCAGAAGTTTTGCTCCAAGATAGATAGCCTGGACTTAAGAGTGAAATTCAGTTTCAACCCCAACTATGAGAGTAAGGATGTAGCTGAGTTGGTGGAATGCTTGACTAGCATGTACAAAGTGAAGTTTGATCTCCAACAATGCGTAAAGTCAGGCATTCTGGAACATGCCTGCAATCCTAGCACTTGAGAGAGAGAGGCAGACGTATCAGGAGTTGAAAGTCATTCTCAGCTACAGAGCTCAAGGCCAACCATTGCCTACATGAGACCCTGTCTAAAAAAATAAAACAAGGGGGGCTAGAGAGATGGCTCAGTGGTTAAGAACACTAGTTGTTCTTGCAGAAGACCTGGGTTTGAATCCCAGCACCCACATGGCAGCTAACAACTGTCCATAACTCCAGTTCCAGGGGATCTAACAGCCTTTTCTGTCCTCCGCGGGCATTGCACGACATGGGTGCACTAACCTACATGCAGGCAATACGCACATACACATAAAATAAGAATAATAAAATATTTTAAAACAAGGGGTTGGAGAGATGGCTCAGCGGTTAAGAGCACTTGCGAGGACCTAGGTTTGATTCCCAGCACCCATATGGCAGCTAACAACTGTCTGTAACTCCAGTTCCAGGGGATCCAAAGCCTTCTTCTGGCCTCCAAGGCATTGCACCTACCTACATGCAGGCAATACACTCATACACATAAGATAAAAGCCATAAATAAAGCTGGGCGTGGTGGCACACACCTTTCATCCCAGCACTTGGGAGGCAGAGGCAGGTGGATCTTTGTGAGTTCAATGCCAGCCTGGTCTACATAGTGAGTTCCAGGACAGCTGGGGCTATAAATAAAATATTAAAAAAACAAAAACACCTGGGCATGGTGGCACATGCCTTTAATCTCAGCACTTGGGAGGCAGAGGTAGGTGGATCACTAGGAATTTAAGTCCACCCTGGTCTACATGGTGAGTTCCAGGCCAGATGGGGCTATAGGGAGAATCTGTCTTAAAAAACAAACGAAACAAAAAATATGTTTTAAGTGAACAAGTTTATTCCAGAGAGGAGGGTCTCAAACTTTCCCTATACCCCTAACTTAATGGTCTATGTCTTGCATTTTGGGGGCCTAAAGAGCCCATCTTGGGGGTTGGAGAGATGGGTTCAGTGGTTAAGAGTACTTACTGCTCTTGCAGAGGACCTGGATTTCCAGAACCCATGTTAGGCAGGTCACAAGCACCTGTAACTTCAGCCCCAGGGCATCTGACACTCTCTGGCCTTCATGGACACCTGCACACACAGTGCACATAAACCTATGCAGGCATACACACACAAAAATTAAAAAAAAAAAAAGCCAGTGTGGTGGCACATGCCTTTAATCCCAGCTCCCAGCACTGGGGGTGGGGTGGAGCTGGGGCAGAAGCTGGCAGATCTCTGTGAGTTTGAGGCCAGCCTGGTCTACATAGTGATCCAGGCCAGCCAGAGCTACACAGTGCAACCCTGTCTCAAAAAACAAACAACAAAAGAGCTCATCACAACAGACCCCTTGCTGTTGTTTTTGTGGTGGTTGTTTTATGTATCCCAGGCTGGCGTCAAATTTGCTATGTAGCCAACTTATGATTCTTGTGCTTCCACCTCCCGAGTGCTGGGGTTACAGACATGCATCACCATATCTAGCAATGTGGTGCTGGGGATGCTAGTTAAGCACAATACCAACTAAACTACATCCTTAGCTCTCCCTACTCTTACAAGTCCAGTCTAAAATGGGCCTTCCAGGGGAGGTGTGCCTTGGTAGTACTTGTCACAGGCCTGGGATCCACCTTGGTTAGCTTTTTTTTTTTGATATTTTTGAGATAGGGTCTCCCTGAAGCCCCAGCTGGCCTGGAACTCGCTATGTAGACTAAGCTGGACTTGAACTCACAGAGATCCACTTGCCTCTGCCTCCTGGGTGCTGGGATTAAAGGGTTGTACCACCACGCCTGGCTTGGGGCTTGGTCAGCTTCTTTAGGTGACTATTTTGAATGAAGTTGTCATGCTGAATGCCTGCTGCCCACCAGGGTGTTGCGTCTCACTCGCCTGTCACCAGAGATTGTGGAGCTCAGTGAACCACTACAGGTTGTACGATATGGTGAGGGAGGCCACTACCATGCCCACGTGGACAGCGGACCTGTGTACCCAGAGACCATCTGCTCCCATACCAAGCTGGTAGCCAATGAGTCTGTACCCTTCGAGACCTCCTGTCGGCAAGTATCTCCCACCTGGGGGCTGGTATCAATTCCCAGACTAGGCACTCCCAGGATATAAGCACAGCCTGGAATGGGGCCAGGAATACACTGAGCCATCCTGGTCAACCATGCCCTTACCTTTTCCCAAGGTTCTTTCCTTCACCATTGTGATTCAAGTCAAAACAGACTAGATACTCACAGACACTGAAACTTGTCCTCATAACTCTAAAGCAAGGAGAACCCCAGCTCTTTCTGCCCTTTCCTTCAGTTATTTCTCTTTACTGCTGGAGGGGTCAGCCTCTCCTTTTCATGTGGCTTTTCTAAGTCCTTCAAGTTGCCAATGAGACTTTGTGCATGATACTCCTGCTTCTTTAAGATTCCCTTTCCCAGCCAGGCCTTTAGTCAAGGTCACATAATTTAGCTCAGTGCACTTGGGATCTTAGCCAAAGAAAAGACATTGGACCGGGCCTGGTGGCGCACATCTGTAGTCCCAGCACTTGGGAGGCAAGAGGCAGGTGGATCTCTGTGAGTTCAAGCCCAGCCTGGTCTACATAGTGAGTTCGAGGCCAGCTGGGACTACAGGGAGACCCTGTCTCAAAAAGGCCAAAGAAAAAAAAAAAGGAAGAAAGAAAGGAAGAAAGCAT